TTATTGTGGGTTTTTTTTTTGTTTTTTTTTTGGTTTTATTTTTTAACAAGCGTTTTAGTGAGAGTAATCTTTACGTTTTATGACTGAATGCTAAAGTTTCCGAATCTGCTACTGTTGTTATTGTCACGTGATAATCTCGAGAAATAAAAGAGACATTTCTTTGGGGGGGGGGGGGGGATTATTGTTTTTTTTTTTTACAATATTGTTTTTTACATTTTAACAGCTAATGTTTTAAATCAATTCCTACATTATAAAATTGATGTTGGCCTATGATTTCTCATTCTTGTTAGTGTGAACTAATAGTAGATTTCGAAATATAAAAACAATCGATTCATGCTTTATATTCAAATTGTAGAGTATTCCAGTTGTGTATTAGCTAGTCATTTTAGCTCCTCGTGTTTGTGTTTGTAATGTCATCACAGCGCCTTGAACCTACATTTTGTTTGTTAACAGCGCTCTAGAAATTAAATTATTATTACTACCTAATAAAACATGAATCAATTTTTAAAAAGCCAAATAGTCAATTAATTATTTTGTATAATATTGAATTAGGGAAATAACTTCTACATTAATTAGAGATATAGTTCTTGAGCGGTGTTATTTCCCTTGGGTTAACTTTTTTTTTTTTTTGAAAGGATTTTGTTATATTTTGCATGTTTTCTCTCTCTTATGTAGCAAGAAACAGTTCCACAAGAACAATATTCTAAATCAATATGGCTACATGTTTAGAGACGTGAACGACATGGCCTCCACCGAGCTGTTGATTTCCGACGAGAGGATTCCAGCAGAAGAAATTGTACTGGACACGAACGAGACGTGCACTGTCACGTGCCATCCTAAGAAAAGTAGGTCACTTCTGATCTTAGCAGACTTAACGTGTGTGTTGATCCGTTTGATCGTCTTATGAGCTGAGCCGAAGGCTCTTCGAGCTCAAAGTTTGAAAAAAAACAACTATTTGGCGCCAAACTGTAAAAAAAAAAACAACCTGTGAGAACACAGTTCTGTTTGAGAGAGACCCGAGTCTATGCCTATGTAAGGCATTGCTATTTCCGATGCCTTTGGCCCCCAACGCATGCTTGGCTGCACATGGCCGAAGGCCGAGGACACCGGGAGCCTCCGCCATTTTCCTTCATTATACCAAGCTAACCGTGGGGGACACGCCATTTATGTAACGGTCCCTTGACGGACAGCGCATGGATGTATCACAGGTTTGTGGGGACTCTTTTGCAACCCCGCCCGTGTAATGAGTGGACTCTCGTCTACCCGTGGGCATCCCCACGGGAGTTATGTTTCGCCATTCATTTAGCCTAGTTGCCCCCTCAAGTAACCGTTTCCACCCGAGCTTACTAGTCTATTTACACAATGCAAAATATCTATCTATCTATCCATCCATCCATCCATCTATCTATCTATCTATCTATCTATCTATCTATCTATCTATCTATCTATCTATCTATCTATCTATCTATCTATATGAGTAAGAGAGATCGAGATATTGAGAGAGAGAGAGAGAGAGAGAGAGAAGGAGAAAGATTTAGATTTGTTGCTAAGAGATCTTATCATTGGTTAATTAACTGTAACAATCATATTATAAAATATATATCGATAAAATTGTAATTTGCCTAAATTAAACAAGTTTGAATGTTTAAGTGAAGCTCATTTAAAAAATTGAATAAATTAATGTAATGAAATAAATTATTAAAAGGCGAAATAAAAAAAATATTGTTAAAATGAGAGCAAATATTTAGATCCTAAAAAAAGGGGAAATAAAACGAAAACATTTTTACCAAATAAATTCCTTTATTTGTTAAAAAAAATATAATGAAAAAAGACCAAAATGTGAATCTAGATTTGGATATATCATAAAGTTAAAGGTCTGTTTATATCTTTAATACAAATAAATGTTAAAATTGAACCAAAAATTGGCGAGAGGAGACAACCTCGTTGCTTGTCTAATAAAACAAGCATCAAAGTAGTCTTGTGTAATTAACATACAGTACCGATATGTATGTGTTGTTTTGTTATTTTTCTAGAGTTTCTTACAATTCTGGGACTAGACGAGAATTTCAAACCAAATTCTGAACAGAACGATCCCCGGACGGGAAAGAACCTAGAGAAAGGCAGAAAATACTATAACCATGGCTGCTGTATATCGTGAGTTGATTTGTATTGACTTGCTTCTCAGTCATGTTATGTCTTTCTTTCTTTTCTCTCTCTCTCTCTCTCAATCACACACTCTCTCTCTCTCTCTCTCTTTTCACTCTTAATGTTTCTCTCTATAAAAAACACGCATCTACTTCATTTCACCCACTATTTTTACCTCTTACTAAACGTCTCTCTCTCTCTCTGTCTCTCTGTCTCTCTCTCTCTCTGATATTCACTTTTGCTGTGTATATAATGAGATTTCGCAAAAGAAACCAATTTTAAGTGAATCAAGCTTTTCAACGCCGAAAAAAGAAATTCGTGTTAACTCTTTCTCTCCGTAATTATTTTTTCTCACGATTCGACGGAATTCTTCCTTCGCTCATCATTATTTCACTCCCCTGTTATGATTTAGCTTCAATAACTTTGTTGTTTGTTATCAGACAATGTTTTATTTAGTATAGAATTAAAGGGGAAGGCATGCTCTTTTTGCATGACACAAAAAATTACGTTGATAAAAGTAAACATGAATTCAATTGAATGAGGTCAAATCAACGATGGTATCGTCAATTAGGAGAGAAAGAGGTAGAAAGAGTTCTTTCCCCGTTAGCGGATAGTTTTAGATCGGAGAAGGGCATTATACCTCTTTCTAATACAAGTTTCTTCATGAACAGTTGCTTCAAACAGTTGAACCCAGAGATCATTGAGTCCTTTTTTTCACGCGGGCTTTTAATTGAAATAGGGAAACTTCTGTGTTCATGCATATAAATTTATGAATGCTAGAATAGTAAAACAAATTGTCAATCCCACAATTCTTTTTACAGATACCAAAAACAAATCGCACCCGATCGTCTGCCAAATCAATCGAATCAGATGAGACGATTGGTCCAATTTAAGGAGCAGAAGCAGTTATTACTCCAAGACGAATGCAGGTAATACATTTATTTTGTGCATAATTTTTAAACATTTCTCTACTAAAAAGGTCTAAATTAAAAAGGGGTGTAAATTTAAATTACAGACAAAATATCGCTACGATTTCTGTAGTTTAATATAAATGGTTTTTTTTTTCAGGCATATAGTAGGGTGTAACAGAGGTTGCAAATGTATGCAGCAGAACATCATAGTTGTCGCCCTTGTAGTTGACGATGACGTCAACGCCATTGAGCCTCCATCAGTGGAGGACTCCCTTACCTTCGCAAATGCCAGACTTGAAAACGTTGTCTATGCCGGTTGGTGTAAATGTTTCAATCAGTGAGAGCCAACCACTTTAGGAATCGGTTACTATTTTTTTGTCTTGAGAGAAAGTTCCAGACGTGTTCTCTGAAGACCTTCGTACGAAGACCGCTGTTCTGTCTGACGTGTTCGTTTGAAATCATCGTATGAAGTTCGTTGTTCTTCAGTAGAAGTCATTGAAGTTCACTACATCTGATGTTTAAGCGCTGACTTGGAGACACCATTGAATCTTTGTCCACACTTTTTTTCTGGTTTACTGAGCAGAACATGAATAGCTTTATTAACAGTGGAACTTTGAAATCAATGTAAGAAAAAGTTGGCAAGGAAAGTTCGGCCACACTTGTTGCAGAAGTCTTGTTAGACAAATAATTTTACGTGAATCTCTTTTGCCAACTGTGGCAATTTTTCGCATCGCTATTAATGTTGTTTTATTAAATAGATTTTGGAATAAGCACATTGTGATATACCCAAAATGTTTCAAGATGAGCTTAGAGGCTTTAGAACTTTGAGGCGCCTTTGACACTATGAATTTGATAACATATCTGTCCAAATGTGGCTGAATGGTAACAGCCACAGGATTTTGCTCAACTATGTGATTACATTTCAATGCAATCATTACAATTGTGTTGTAATATCTACAAGTATGTAATGTGCATTTGTTATTTATTTCTAGTGGCCGTTCGCATTATTATCATTATTTAAAGCGTGTTTCAAATTCTTGCTCTGCCAGGGTCGAGCTTCCGTTAGAGAAAAAAAATAATTGTATAATTATTATTATTATTATTATTATTATTATTATTAACATTATTATTATTATTACGTTAAAAACGAACGAGTATTCTTTCTCTGGATCTGCCACGGTCAAATTTCGTTAAATAGAAACAAAAATTTACTGTAGTCCCTTTCTCAGTGTCCACCGAGGAATTTTCTGGTGATGTGGCAGGTCTGCAGCAGTACTGCCCTCTGACAGGCAACGAGAATGTTCCTAGGAATGTTAAGGGCCTTGAAGGTATCTATGAGGTCGGTTGTTATTATCCCCTCAGTTGATATAACAATGGGGTATATTGTTGTTTTAGATAACTTCCAATAACGCTTAATCTCCAAGCCTGGGTTCCCATATTTTCGTTGTTTTTCCATTTCAGTTTTTCTTAATTTATGAGACACTGGTACGGCGATGTCAATAATTGGTAGCGTTTTCTTCTTCTTCTTCTTCTTCTTCTTCTTCTTCTTCTTCTTGTTATTATTATTGTTATTATTTAAAACGTGTTTGTAATTCTCGGATTAATTGATGAGCATTGTTGATTAATTGGTGGTCAGTGTTGATTAATTGGTGGGCATTGTTTTATTCTTTTTTTTTTCACTCATTTAACGTTATGCCATCTCTGTTCAACAGTGTCAATGGTAATCGCCTATTTATCTAGTTTGTCAACGAACAGTAAAAGTAAGCTTTCCCTTTCGGATCTTGCGATCTATGGGGCAGATGAGCAGAGGATGTCTTTTTCTATGGCCAACGGTTAACAAGCAGGGTGTTATGTGGTCAGCACAACGACCAACCGCCTTTTCTTTCCCCCAACTAAAGTCAGGTACCCATTTGAGTTTGGTGGACTCAGGGTTGCCCTAAAAATCCGAAATTCAAAATCCCAGTCTTCACCGAGATTCTAACCCAGGACCCCAGGCTCAGAAGCCGAGCGCGTAACCACTCAGCCATCGCCCCCCCCCCCTCCCCCACGAACAGTGGGTCCGTTCAATGAAGATCTACTTTCTTGTCGGTTGATGTGTGTACTGTTACACTTGTGTAGGCATACTGAGAGAATTTAAACTTCGTTTGTATCACATGTGTCTATTTCTGAGCGTATGTTTGTCTTTCACGTTTGAAATGACATTATCTCGCATTGTTTATGACATTGTAGTATACACTTAGAGGATTTGAATGTTCACATTTACTGTGTGTATATTTTGTCTATCGATTGTGTTTGATTTTGATGCGTTGGTATATTAATAGGCTACAGTGTACAATGGCATGTTTAGCTTTTAATTCAAGAAGTATATAGATAAATATTTATAACTGTAGGCCTACAATGGTTGAAATAGTTTTTGATCTACTGGATCTCTACAATACAATGTTAAATATTTATGCCTATGAATTCTGAGTGATCGGATGAAAATCTTAGCTCACGGACTGGAAAATTCCATGAGTTGTTACTCTTGGTTTTTTAATTAATTAATTTTTTTTTAAATTTTATTATTTTTATTTTTTATTAATATTATTATTATTTTTTGCTATTTGTTGTTGTTGTTGTTATTATTTTAACTCTGATTTTTTTGCTTGTTCTTCGTACGTTCGACAAACAGGCAACACGCTAACGTAGGCGGTGTTGCGTTAACGAGGACTGCTTAACTCAAAAACAAATGTGATCATAACCAACATGTTTGATACCATCTGACGCCATTTAGTTACATTTCAGCCAATGTCAATGCTTCATATAACTAACTGTATTTTTTAAAATGTATGTGTTTTCTATTTATAGATGAAATGGTTTGACAGTAATTCAGGTTATTTCTCTCACGCTCTATTCTTATATCAAGTTGAAACTTTTCACGATTATCCATTGCCCTAACTACAAGAATCAATCAAAATGTTAATCAGTTAATTAATGAAAGGAAATAAATCATAAAAGTATTGATATATATATATATATATATATATATATATATATGTGTGTGTGTGTGTGTAGGCCTATTCTATATGTAGGCTTATTCTATATTTAGGTATGCTATATTTATATAGGGCTGTAAATGTGCAGTTCTTCCCCTTAGCTACGCTTTTTGTTTTTAAACGAAGTATTTTTTTGTTTCAAAATGTTTTTGCTTGTTTTAATGTTCGTGGGTGTAGGCACTTGATGCCACGCGCCCCAGACATGGCGCGCATTTTAGAAGTGATTTCGTATTTTTGATTCTCATTGTAGGTCTATAACTATACTAAATACAATAACGATTCGAGAGGCTTAAACTACTGGACATTACTTTTAAAGCATGTTACATACTGGACACTTTTTTTTATTATATCATAGATACTGGACAATACTTTTATTATTTTTTACATACTGGACATTTATTTTACTATATTTTACATGCTGGACATTACTTTTATTGTATTATAAACACTGGACAATACGCTTATTATATTTTAGATACTGGACAGTAGCTTTATTATATTTTTACTTACTGGATAGTAATTATATTATATTATAGATACTGGACAGTAGTTTTATTATATTTTACATACTGGACATTTACTTTATTATATTTTACATGATGGACATTAATTACTTTTATAATATTGTACATTATTGTACATAGTGGACATTTAGTTCATTATATTTTATATGGTGAACAAAAATGAATTATATGTATATGTCTATTGATAAGAAATGATACAAAGATAAATATATATTAACACAATGGATATATTAAACTATCATGTTGAGGAGCATTTCCCTTAAGTGTTTTTTTTATTTGTTTCGACTTCTACTGTTAATTAGACTTACTTTCCAAGTATCAAAAGTTTCACTCAAATGTGCCCTGTACACTAGACAATGATACAGAAGTAATCAGCATCCCACTTAAGAACTAAGATGTTAGACCCGGATGTCCGGTTGTGAACTTTGGAGCTACGTATAGTGTGTATGGTCTCATATATTTGTGCCTTGAACAAGTAATACGGAGACGCAGTGGCTAAGCAGCGAAGCGCTTGGTTTCCGAACCGGGGTTCCCGGGTTCGAATCCTGGTGAAAACTGGGATTTTTAATTTCGGGATGTTTGGGCGCCTCTGAGCCCACCCAGCTCTAATCTAATGGGTACCTGACTTTAGTTGGGGAAAAGTAAAGGCGGTTGATCGTTGTGCTGGCCACATGACACCCTCGTTAACCGTAGGCCATAGAAACAGATGACCTTTACATCATCTGGCGTCTAGACCACAAGGTCTGAAAGGGGAACTTTACTTCTTTACTTTTTTACTTTAAACAAGTTTAGATCAATTCCTTTTTGTGTTCAGGTGCAATCGGTTCTTATTTCATCAGTTTGAACCTGATCAAATTGGATATGGTATAATCAAACCTGATCAGAAATTTAGAAATCTCTATGGAATTAAAAAGAATATGCCCCTCTGAATATACTTTTAATTAATGTTTTAATGGTAACCAATCTGAGACGTGGGTAGTATATAGAAAGAAACTAAGACTTCTTGATCGCTTTCACCAAAGATGTTTGCACTCCATCATGGACATACGGTGGCAAGGTCACACTACAAACAGCGATGTCCTTGCAATCGCTGGTATAGACAGCACAGAGGGACTTCTTAGACCTATAGTCAGACAGTTACTCTGGGCAGGGCACTTATCCCGTATGGGGAATGTACGTTTCCCAAAGGTAGTCTATTTTGGTGAGTTAAAAGATGATTGGCGTGCAGATGTGCCCCACGGAAACGCTTTTAAGACCAGCTTAGACGAAAACCTGCTATAACTGACATAGTAGAGAGCACCTGGCTGCAAGCAGCTTCAGAAAGAGACAGCTGGAGATCACAGGCCGCGAGATACACATTTAAGACCAAAAGAAAATCTGCTGCCGAATACAGATGTAGACGGCAAAAAGAGAATCTAAATTGACCACAGGCGGACAATGGTTATGTCTGCTTTGGTTGTGGCAAACATATGTAGGTTGCAGCTGGGGCTACGTAGTCATATGCAATACCGCATTCCTTTTTTTTCTTCGGACTCGAAGACAAGCCTTATTATCTCCTTAGATAATTGGAGGCCCTAGGCGAAGAGAATTTGGTGTCTCCAAATAAAAAATAAAAATAGACTGCGAAAAAAAAGCTAAAAGTATACATTTTATTAAACACCTAGTGTACTCCAACCCTAACATTGAGGACAAGTTTCGTATCGCTCCTCTACCTGGTACAACCCTTTTTCAAGCCTTTTTCATTTTATATTTACTAATGATAAAATTTGAGATTAGAGTTTGTGTGCAACATGATATACAAATTGGTTCAAATATCAATATGTAACTTATATAGTGTGTGGCTCCCGGGGCATCGTGTTCCCCCTTGCCCCCCTCACTACGCATCTGACATTTTAGTTCATACATATGTAAGCGCTTTCAACATGCAGTCCATTGATCCAAATCTGCTATTATGCAAAACTGTATGATAGGCAAAAGTACCTTTAGCGGCTTCGAGTTTAACTATTTGCACAAATATGAAAATGTTGGAAAAGTCCCTTATTGAGAGCACACTAAATGCTTTTAATTTAAAATTCTTAATTGCATTCGGGTGTTTCATTTTATCCACAAGCGCGACAGAAAACTGTGATCGTCATTTCCAATATCGCACCTCACTGTTATTTGATTCCTCTTGACTTCTTTAGAATCGGAAACTCTGCCTGTATGTCCCAGTGACCTTCGATGTTCGTTTTGTGTCCGATGTTTCATACCCTGTCATCGACTTGAGCAGAAGGGAAAGCTAAGCCAAGGAATACTGCATGATGGAATTAATTAACAGAATCAGCGAGAAACATGCTGAACAACACGTCAAGATACGACAAGAGACATGCTGACGTTGGTTTCTGAGAAGGCAGGATACTGCAAAATGAGAGCACTACTCATGCACTTAACACAGAAGCCTGCAAAGCAGCGAACATGAAATAAGGATCAAGAAGAAAACACTCTAAAGCGGCAGTGGTGTAGCTAGGTAGGGGGGAGGAGGTCGAGAATTTGAAAACATCCCCCGTGCCCCCACTTAAGGAGGGCCGCCGAATGAGTGTTTGAAATTGTTTTTTACATTAAATATTAAATATGAACCAAATTGCAGGTGCCCCCAAAGAGGTCAAGCCCACTCACCCCCCCCCCGGGCACTCAAATTATGGCAAATTCCCAGCTACGCCACTGCAAAGCGGTACTTTACGTTATCAGTTAAAAAATTATGAAGCATTTATAAAGAAAGGGGGATAGTGGTCGTCAAGCGCAGAGGCGTAGTGAGCAAACGTGCACCGGGGGAAAAGTTACAATTTTCCATGAGCATCACATATGTGGCACCCCCTGGGGATTTCGTCCGGGGCATCCCCCCTCCACTACGCCTCTGTCGTCTACCCGGACATTTTATGAAAAGCTTGGCAGACGGTCCAAAGTCGGGACGTCTAGTCACCTTGCCATAGCCTACCTACTTGTTTGCTTGTGGTAGGCAGGGCCGGCCTTAGGCCACTGCAACCTATGCGACTGACGCGGGCTCCGCACTTTCATAGTCCCCGCGCTAATTCTAGGTGTAAATTATTTAATTAAACCATTTTATTTATAACTTATAACAGATTTCCCTCGACCTTCTGATTTACCAGGAGCTCCTGGAAATCTCCTGAAATTGCAAAATATACGAAAAAGTCCTGGGAAATCTCCAGAAATTATTAAAATCTTTTAAAAACTCATAAAAATCTCCTGAAATATAGACAAAATGTCATTTTTGGTTGTCATTCAATATCGAAAACGCTAATTCTACGCGCGATAAAATAAAAAAGGACTTTATACAATACCCATAATTGTGGAATCTGGTGAAAGAAGCTACTTGCGCCTCCAACTAATGAAGAATTACTTGAGTTCAACAATTCTCGAAGATAGATTGAAACATTTGGTAATGCTTGCTACTGAGCGTGATCTATTTTTGTGCTATACTGTAGGACTTCGCACAGATCTTCAAAGACAGCTTGCCGCCCAGAGCGCTGAACGGCGAGGAAGGACCTAAGTCTAAGTCTAAGTCAGTATGACTTCGCTACACGCAAGGCTCGTTAAGTAATTCTGTACGTAGTAAAGAATGAATACAATGCAAAGACGAATTTATTTTCAAATACAAACTCTTACTTTTCACTTATTATCCGTATCCCTACCTACCCAAACTGGGCCCAGCGCAATCCGTTTCGCATAGGGCCCCGCAATGGTTAAGTCCAGCCCTGCTATTTAGTGACGGGTGAATACAGAGTAGATTACTTGTTCTCTTTCCTTGACTTCCTGGTCACAATGGTTATTTCAGATCCTGCTATTTATTGAAGGGTAAATACTACTTATTAAAACAGTCCTGATGGTAGGGCCTAAGTAATTTTATTGAAAAGCGTATCAAAAAGTTAAATTTAAAAATATATTTTCCAACTTTCACCAATGATGGCGGCAGAGCTTGAAACTGAGACCCTCCTGACGACGTACCGAGGCGCAGGGCCGACTTTATGAATTGCGGGGCCCAATTTAATGGATGCCCCTCTTCAATTTTTTTTTTACAATAACAACTATGTCACGTATTACAAATTGAATTCAACTTTTAAATGGCTCGCCTAGGGGAACGTGACAATAGAAAAAGGTAGTTGTGTCACTTATCTAAAGTCTGAATTTAATCAAAGACTTACAATGAATAACAAAAAAAAATTACACAAGAAATCGGAAGGTAAAATATCAACTTAATGTTTAATCATAATATAACTCAATACAAAATGGAAGGGTTGACCAAAACCCTTTTACAAAAAAATGGCATGTAAAAGTATTACAATACAAGTGTTTGAAAATATAATTACAAATACAAGCAAGGCCTTGAAAAAAAAAAATCTTAACTTACACGATCAATTGGTATACCACGCACGGGTCACGCAATG